CTTTCTTTCTTTCTTTCTTTCTTTCTTTCTTTCTTTCTTTCTTTCTTATCAAACATAATTTATTAAATTGAGGCCAATGTCTTCAGATATGCAGTGTCCCCAGCATAACTTTATAAGCATGCACTAATCTGCTTGGTTGGGACAGTGCTTCACACTAACAGGCACTTACATTTTCATTACTCATTTACTAATAGAATTAATTCTGCCTTGCATTTTGACACACATTAAAGACTCTTCACAGCAACAAATAATGCACAAAGTAAGGAAACTCTATCAGCAGGACATTAAAACAACTGAACTAGCATGTAAAATGCAGGAAGCATCATAGGTCTCATTAAATCTCTGGAGCGGGGTAGAATGGGGTGTCAATTAAAACAACTGTTTTACATCTAATTCATATATCTTGAAATATCATGCATGCAAGTCCTGTCATGATTAGAATGATTGGCAGGTGTGATCATGCCTAATCCATTTTGTTGTTGATACTGTCATCATCATCACCAGCTGATCTTTGAAGAAATCAGCAACCAAGTCTTTAGAAAAATGAAGGGTAAGGTAAGAATTAGTATTGCTGCCCTAGTTTAGCAGTTTGAGCTCTTCTAGGATTTCAAGACATAGCAAAGCGTGCTTCATGTCTTCACATTGTCTTTTAATCCCATATAGGAGGACGACACAAATTCTCACATATTGGATAGCCAGTATCTGCAGTACAAATGCCATGATTCCTTTCGTGAGAAATATTTCAGTGGAGTGACGAAGAGGATTGCCAAGGAAAAAAAAGACAGCCAAAAGTAATCTGTTTGGAAAGGAAAAAATGAAAGCAAGGAATGCACAAGGCTTGTATTTGGCTATTAAAACATCTGGACCTCTACATTATGTAGAAGCTTCAGAGAACAAATACTGTTTTTAATTTTTTTTTAAACTCAAAGCAAAAACCACAACATAAGTGAAGGACAGTTCTTTTTCATTAACTTTTGTTTATACCAGATTATTGCACAAGGTTTTTTTTGACCTTTATTTAATTTATTTTAGGACTTTGAGTTCTAATGATAATTGATTACAACCTTTATCACTATTAGCCTTTCAGTCTATTACCTCTAGCAAAAATAAAGACTATTGTTTGGCTTTTTTTAGCTGTGAACATCTGGAAGTCTTAGGAATAATACAATGGTATTTTGGTTTTAATTTTTTTTTACTATTGTGAACATCTATTTCATTTTCCTTTATTCTTTTATTTTCCTTTATTCTTTATTCTTTATTCCATACAATAAATTCAGAAAAGTTTGTTCTGAATTTTAAAATTATGTTGTCTGTTGCAGCAATTATCATTTCTTACCGCCATTTCTAGAGCCAATACGCACCCCTCCTTCCTGCCAAGGATCCAGTTTGGTATTATACATCTGAAGCTCATCTGTATCTTGGATTTACTGTCACTTTAAATAAGCCCTGGTGTTGCTGGTTTTGGTATTTGTGTTGCTATCTTTTAAAATGATTGTAATGATTGTTTTTTCCCCTTTTGTTTGTTAATCAGTTTTATGTCACTATAGGAAGGCAGGCTGTGACTATTAGAATTAATGAAGTCTCCCTTCTACTAACTGATCTATGCCAAATTTGTTTCCTCTGTTCTTTCTTAAATATCAGTAATTGACATCTGCCCTTATTTGCGTAACTTCTAGCTTGGATTTTTAAGACATTCAACACTCATGTTTGGCATTCCTACATTTGTGATTATCATAAACTTGTTAAAGGATTTTTGTTTTTAGTAATGGGTTTTGTGATAAGTTCATAATATTGTGTTAAGCTTCTCAGAAATTATGTAAATTAAAAAACAGTAACTTTTTACAAAACACAAATACTGGATGAAGTGGAAATACATAAGAATAAGAAATGGGAGGGGAAAATCACATTCTGTTGCTGCCAGACGCCTGGTGAATAAAATGGTTATATAGCTCTTCTAAAATTAAATAATGAGGAGATTGCCACTTGAGGATTTTTTTTCCAAAACAGCAGCACCACTGCTGAGAAAATCCTCTCCCCATCTCCACTTCTCTCTACACATACAATTAGTTTCTAAAACCAGAAGATACCTGAGACAAGGCCGCCTCCTTACAAGTTCTGTATGACCTCTTGTCTCTCTCAAAGATGGATTGGCTTTTTCCTTGCCAGAAATGGGTCATTTGCTTTGGCAGCAACAGATTGTTTTGGCTCCTAAGAGCCAAGCTGACTCCAAGTTATGTTAAATTCCAGTCTCTTGCCCCTGGCAGAGACAGTTGATTTAAAAGCCTGTTCTGATGGTGCTTTGGAGTGCTTTGAATCCCCTCCCTCCCTTCTCTCCCCCCCCACCCCAAGTATTTAAGACATTATTCTGGACTATTATTTTGTTCCCTGCCACTTCTTCCATTGCCACGGGAGGCAAGAAGAAGACCAGGAATGCTATGTTTTGTTTATAACAAGGCAATGTATATATCACTATATACACTGTACCTACAGTGTATAGTGTTCCAATATTTGAGCCTATTCTCTAAAGCACCTGAAGGCAGGAGAAGAAGCAATGGATGGAGACTAATCAAGGAAAGAACCAACCTAGAACTAAGGAGAACTTTCTTGACTGTGAGAAAAATTAATGAGTGGACAGCTTGCTTCCAGAAGTTGTGGTGCTCTGTCACTTGAGATTTTTAAGAAGAGATTGAACAGCCACTTGTCTGAAATGCTTGGCCAGTGGTTGAATGAGAAGTCCTCAAAGGTCCCTTCCAATTCTGTTATTCTGTTACTTGGTTGATATGAGATTGCTCTGCTTCACCCTCTTGTGAAGGTGCTCACCATCCATTTATGTTTAGTCATCACCTTTGAAGATGGACCTGATGGACCTGCGTATGTCCTGCTGTATTCTCAGACACAAGCAATTTTGTTTAGTAACAAACCTTTCTAATGCTGAAAAGCCAGTGGGTTGAGGAAGAAAAGTAGCTATTTATGATGCTGATTTACATTCTTCTGCTCAGGTTATCAATGTACTACTAAACTATTTGTAACTTTCAATTGGGCAACACAGTGCAACATAGGGCAAGAGTTTTTGAATCAAAGAACCTCAAATGGGCTAACTTAAAAATGTGTCCAAAATCCAGGATTCATTACTCTCAAGTAATTGAAAACTCAAGATTCTTCACACAAGTTGTATATCCAAAGTGGTGGCTCCTGCAGTATCACCACAGTTAGCCGCAATCATGCAATCATAATATTGACTACGCTTTCAGAACTGCAGAGGTTGTATGTCACAAGGAAAGGTGGGAGGGACATATCCCCACTCTCTTTCCTACCTCCCTCTGGTCCCTGTGCCCAATCAGGTGGCAGCAAAGCTCAATGAGTGAACAGTGATTGGCTGCCTTGGAACCAAGGCCAAAAAAAATGGAAATCTCTTAGTGGCGGTAGGTGGTGAGAGAAAGACAAGAGAATGACTCTGATGCCTGCTGGTGAGGTAAGGCTGACAGGGTGATGGCAGCTGTTGACAAGTGAGCCTTCTTTCTGGTGGGAGGGGATCCTTGGGATGGAGAGAAGGGGGTGCAATTTTCATGTCCATGTCTCCTTTGTCCCTCTTCCCACAGAAAAGTGACGGGCAATTTTGCGGATCAACAGAAGAAGAGGCAGCTTCACCAGGGCTCTGCTGAAAGTCATGAGGAGGGGAAAAATGGTGCCAGCCTTTATTATATTTGTAAAAAAGATGATGGGTTTTTTAGTTTTATATGGAAACCCCAGCACTTCAATCCTGAATTTTTCAGGTTTAAAAATTAAAATGATTGTATCACCAGTGATGTATTAGATTACATTTTTTTATATGATGGACAGCTTGCAGCTTCCAAAAGCTGGGAAGAAAAAACAAGTTATGTATTTTATAAAGCAAAGTGGAGACTGTTACCTGCCTTTCAGGAATATATATTTTCATTAAACTCTTCTTTTTCCACATTTCAGAAGTTTCCATAGACAATATTTCATCAGCTGCTCCTAATTTCTTTGACTTGAAGAGACAGTTTGAAACTATCTCTTGAAACTAAACAGAAACTTACTGCTTGAGAAGCAGATGTAGAAATAGTAAAGTTCTGGATTTGACTAGCTTTGCTATGAACTAAAAAAAATCTCATTTATCATGCTGTTCCTTTCTTTAGAAGGAACGTTATACAAAGTATAGAACATAGCTACTAAGCAAAATATATTAAAGGAAAATAAGACAAAAGAAAAGCAAAATGACCAAAGCTAATTTATACTAACACCATTGAATCTGTCATTCTGTAGCTTTCTCTTTGTTAACTATTCTTGCTTTATCACATTCATATAAATAGATGTTTATTTCCGGATCCACATTCCGCATTACATCAAATTAGCATGTACTGAATACAAGTGTCCACATATTTAATCTCCCAAATTGGTACACCTGCAGTGTCACACATTACTGTTTTCTCTTATGCAATCCCAGTAACAGTTCATGTCATCTAATAGAATATTTTTTTCTGAATTATATTCATGTGGCATTCTGCACAATTTCATTGGAATGTAACATGCAATTTTCACTAACCATTTGATAAGTCCTACTTTCACAACAATTTATACATTTTTCTGGAACAAATTCATCAGTTATGTAAAATCATTCTACCTTCATCCCGGTTAATCATATCCTTCTCTTTTTGTTAGTTTTACAAATGCACAAAACTTTCATCTATTCACATTCTTAACTATTTGGTCCTCTATTTTCCAAATCTGCCAAACTGAAAAACGCCTGCTCTTTCATGATCTGCTGTGGCTTCCTTGATAGTTCCTTCTGTTGAAACCTACATGCCAGCTTGTAGGGCAGGGGTCTCCAACCTTGGCAACTTTAAGACTTGTGGACTTCAACTCCCAGAATTCCTCAGCCAGCAAAGCTTTCCTACCTTCTCTGCAACAATGACCTGGGTAATTGACTGCAGAGAAAAATCTTTGACCTTGAAAGTTGCATGTAACTTCTTTCTGTTTCAGGGGATTTCATCCTTCTAGAATTTACTGAAGAACAGTTTGACAATAGTCACAATCGGTATTATTCAAACTAGTTGGGGCTAATGCAGGTTAAAGGCCCATATATCTGAAGGGAGCAGGTTATCTGTCTCTAAAAGATTAAAGTCACAAGAGCATGAGGGTGTTTTTTTCAATAAACCCCAAAATTGGGTTTTTGTTGTTTTTAATATTGTAATGTGTTTAGTTTTATAGTTTTACTGTGGTTTTATATACTGCTTTGACTTATTTGGGAGCTTCCCAGAGTTGGTTAGCAGATGGGCCGCCAGATAAAGATTTTAAATAAGTAAATAATAAATAAATGAAGTATGTAATTACTAGTTTTCATTCTGGTGGTATGTTCCAGCATGCAGGTATACACACTCGGGGGGTGGGGGGGAGACTGTGTGTAAATATAAATATATCTATGAATAAGAAAGACACCAAATGAACAGATGAACATGAGGAAATACAGTTCTGTTTTTAGATATATTCAGACTTTTGGTTTGATGATAATGAATCATCTAGTTAAGGTTAAGGAAAGAGAAAAATGTTGCATTGCTTATATGTTTCATATAGGAGCAATATGGGGAAAAATGAGTTGGCATCATAAAGACAGCAGAAGCTTCAGGATGTTCTACAAAATCTACATGATAATATTGGAGTAAATTGTAGACCACAGTGATTAAAAGCAGCACTGTTAATTCTCTCTTCTAACATTGTACATTTTATTTATTTGGCATTCTTTGAGTAGGAGGGAGAGGAAACATGCTATAGCTCAATGTCTGTGGAGATTCTCAGTCATCTGGATCATAGTTATCTCGAGAATGGTTTTGTTTGTCTTCATGAGGCAAAGTGGACCTTTTGTCCTTGAGGAGGAAGAAGAAAACATTCACTTCTCATCCAAGAAACTTCATCAGTTTCAATGGCTGGGGGATGGAAAACTAGGTACTGGCCGTTGAGACTGGATGATAGGGGGATGGATAGGATAGTAGAGGGGACAGACAGACAGACAGACAGATAGCAATAAGACTTATATACCGCTTTATAGTGCTTTACAGTCCTTTCTAAGTGGTTT